CATGTACTCCAATTTCCACAGGGTATTCTAAGTCTCTTGCCTCCAGTCATTGTAGATTACTTCTTGATTCCTGTCTTACACCTCCCGTGTCCGACTTCCCTTTGAGCCCCCCTCAGATGAGGCAGGCATTGTCTTTGCCAGTGACCAAGTTTCGCTCAATAATGACACTTTTCCTCCCAGTTATTTCCAAGTCTTCTCGTTCCTCTTTCAAATCTCTGGCCTGACCTACCTCTTCCACAGTTTTGTTCTCTTCTAGGGGGAAATCCCCTCCATCATCCTCTTTGTTCTAAACTCTGTGCCAGTGCTGCCATTAAAAGACTGGCTTCTTGATGTTTTTCCTGTTTCTTTTCCTTTACAAGTTCAGCTCTATATTTTCCCTCCCACCCATTGAACACAAAAACACACTTTGGATCTTTTGTAATCTCTCCCCTTGCCACCCAGGCTAACGTTCTTTAAAATATTTCTGTATATCTGGGACAGCTTGATCAACAAAAACACTTGCTACTAGCTCATTGTTAAATTTCTGTGCAGCCCCTCCTCCATATTTTAATAAAGCTTGCTGTAATTGTCTGCAGTAGTCATTAGGATGTTCATCTAGCCTCTGCCTACATTCCTGTACTTTCGTCCAATTCATTCCCAATTCTCCACAAGCTCTAATAGCTTTCACTAAATTCTGAATCGCTGTCTGACAGTTGGCTCTGTCTCCTGCCCTATTATAATCCCAATCTGTATCATTCTCTGGCCAAGGGTTCCTATTTCCCTCAGCCTGTCACATCAATTCTGCATCCTTTCATCTGATTGAAATAACTCCTTCAATATTTGAATATCCCCCATGATGGATTGTATCTAGTGCAAATGTTTGAAAATAATTGGGCACACTGATCCGCATCTTCTTTCTGTCTAGGCATTCTACTCCCATACACAGCTAAATCTCCTGGATTCCAGGGTTGATTAGTAAATACATGCAATACTGGAGATGGAGCGCTAGCCCCCCCACCCCCCGCTACAGGCTGCATCACAGCTGGATTTTGGAAGAATATTAGCAGAAGCAGTAGCTGGACAAGTGGCAGAACCAGTAGCAAAAGATGGGTTAGAAGAAAGCAGAGAAGGGAGTGCATAGGGTGGAGCAGATTCCACAAGCATAGCTGTTGGATCACTTACAACTGCTGTGGCTAGAGTCCTAGCCTGAGTTCTCTGTAGACTTTTCCAGCCACCTTCTTTAGAACAGTCATATTCCCAATTGTCCCATACATACCAACAATCTGTTTGAGGAGGTTTTTCATCTTCCAGAATGTGGTGGAACAAATTTAATGTCTTTTACTTAAAGGATCCTTCATGGGGCCACCTCCCTCCATCCAGTCATTACCAGCCATTCCTCCTGGGACAATGCTAATGCTCATTTTTTTTATAGACTTGCAGTGCTGTCTATTATCCTCCAGTTTTCTAATACCTCACCTAAGGACAACGCCTTCTCAATGCTGAGTTTGTTCCCCATATCTGTATGCCAAATTTGTGCACCTTGGATTGATAAGGCCTTGCACAGCTCTCCTAGCACACTTCCAAGCTGGGACTCAAACCCATATCCAGAGTTTAGTAGCAGAATTAGTTAGCTATTTGACATGTTTTGATATGGTTATTACAGTTCATATACCACAATCTATAGGCTTTGTCTACTCCAGCTATTAATGTTTAAGTTGCTAGTGGTAAGTTTCAGCTAACTTTTTCTACAACAATGTTAATTCAGCATAAGGCTGAGGAGTTCTCCAGCTCAAGCTGTTGCCAAACAAATCTGATAAGGTGATGGATTTCCAAAAGTTTCACAGTTTTATAGGTTTCCAGCAAAATGCAATGTCACATTACATAAATCTAGCATATCTGGGTCATTAAAGCAACAAAGGAAGAAGGCTTTTGGTGTGCGTAGGTGAGAAAGAGAGAAGATAACAGGTTTATATGACATATTTAATTGAAATAGGCATTGCTCACAAAATAGCTCTTTGTAAGAGCTTCAGAAGCATCTGTGGCTGTGGGAAAGCTACGTGAATGAGAAAGGCAGCAGGATCTGCATTGCGTGTGTAGCTGGAACCCACCTCAGACTGCCCAGTAGTGTTGGGTGGCCAGGCAGATCCCTGCCTTTCTTCTGCTCCTGGACCACTCTGCAGTCAGTGTCAGCCGGGAGCCCTTGTGGTTGGCCCAGCTATTTTAGAGATGTTTTTCCTCTGAGTCTGTGTGGTGACACAAGACGGTCCATTCAGTTAGTTGCAGTCAGCAAAAGTTGAGGGTGACCAATGTGAAGAACCACGAACCAAAGAAGACTCTCATGTAGAGAAATACACTATGGGAGGGAAGGTGCCTGCAGCTGGTTCCACAAGGCAATCTGGGTTCCTGCACCCACTTCTCTGCAAACACCACTGCCCTCCCCACTGGCACTTTCTGATGCTGCTATTTTATTTATTTCTGGCAGAGAAGCCAGATTCAAACTGATGGCCCAGTGATCCACGTGGGGACCTCAGTGGAACAGCTGAACAGAACAGCAGAGGAGTTGAGCTGCACAACACATCTAACATGACCACATAAGGAAGAAAGGTCCCATGTTTTAACATCTTCTTGGGATGCCCACAGGAGTGCAACCCCCTCTGGTTGAGATTACCACATCCTTGCATCCCTCAGTGTCCAAACAGGACAGAGAAAAGATAGGTTTCACATTCTTCTTGGCATACTTCCTAACTTTTTGGTGCAATTTCCACGAGAACTTCCACAGACCCACTCCTGACTAGGCACAAGAACTGGGCCAGACTGATAGCAATGGGATGGAGGAGGCGGGGCAGAAGCGCTGAGGGGCACCGGTGTTGAAATCTGTAGGATGAGGTAACGGAGCTTACTTGGGCAGTGCACTGAGTACTGCAGACCTTTATGCAGCGGATAGTTACACATAACCAAATTCGGGAGTTCTCCTGCTGAGAAGTGAAAAAGTCTTTTCTCACCTTTGTCTCTTTCTTTCTCTCTATCTGTTCTTTCTTTCCCTTTCTCTGCCTTTCACCCAGCCTCACACAGGGAGCAGCACTGAGGGTTTTGCCCTTGAGGACGTACAGGCTTTGTCACAGGGCTTCACAGGCATCAGAACAGGCCACTAAAGTTGGGAATACTAACAATGAAGGTGGAAGCGCAGCCGCTGCTTCTCTGGAAATTAGTAAGTGTTGTGGTTAAATCCAGCAACTGGGACTCAGGGGTATTATGAGGATAGGCACAACAAAGATGCAGTAAGTGGATTATCTGAAAAGTCCTCACCCCCATTTTTTCCTCTGAGTTTCCCATTTTTGTTTAAATTAACTATTTTATGCCACGTTTTTAAACATGGCCTAAAAATGATGCAGTAACATAGCCCTTACAAATGGAAAATAATTTACAAATTACGCTTACTACTTGGCATTCGGAGCTCTTCAAATAACATCGGTTTTGATAGTTGACCTTGCAAACTGGGGAAGACAGAAGTAAGTCACAAAGAATCCTGTGGGTTAAACTGTTTTCCAAGCTGATTATGAAGCTTAGAGCTCAAATGGTCTTTGCACAGAAACTCACAAAATGCCTTTTCTTTTGAAAGGGTTGTCACCACCTAATTCATTTTACCTCTAATTTCGCATTAGAGGTATTGTTTACTCCTCTGCTGCTCAGAAAATGCTCAGGAAGTGTGATATTATGGTCCACCCCACAAGCCTGTTCCAAGGTACAGCAGCTTAGCACGGCATAACGCTGCCGTCTGTTCATGGCTGGGCTTTGTTAACAAATATTCCTTAAATATTTAAGAGTGGCTTTCCTTGACATTTTATTTATTCCTGAATAAGCTCAATCATGCTGCCAGTGATCAGGTGAAGTTCGCATTTATACTGTTGCCTGACTGCTACCGGTGTAAGATTTGCTCGAGAAATAGTTGCAAACCCATGAGTGCAATGTTAGGCACAGAGCCTTGTGCTGGCTTCCAGAGCCTTTTTATCAGCTTTTGTTAACAACTGATAATTAAATACAGTTCCCCAATTTATTTTGTTCTCTGATAATTTTTCAGGGGAAAGAGCATCTGGGTTTAGATTAGTCTCAGAAGACAAAGGATAATTTATTTTTTTTCAGTAAGATTAAAAAACAAATGTCAAAGAGAAGTCATGGCAAAAAGATAAGTGATAGTGCCTACTGGTCTACACCTCACATTTGTGGTTAAAGCAGGCACTTGTTGGTATATACCCTTGATATAGAGAGCAGAGCTACAGGAGGCACAGAGATGGCAACTGAAGTCTTAGAATAGTAGACTAATATAACGATTTGGATTGGAAGGGACCTTAAATATCATCTAGCTCCAGCTCCCCTGCCTTGGAGAGGGACACATCCCACTAGTTCAGGTTGATCAAAGCCCCATCCAACCTGGCCTTGGACACCTCCAGGGAGAGGGCGTCCACAACTTCTCTGGGCAACCTGCTCCATTGCATCACCACCTTCACGGTAAAGAACTTCTTTGTAATGCCTAATTTAAATCTACACTGTTCTATCATCAAGGAGATCATCTCACAGTCTTCTCAGAGGGAGCAAGGAGTCAGGCTGGCACTCTGCAGAGGAGGTGGCCAAGACAGGACACATTGGAGGTTTACAAAGCTTTGGCAACAACAGCCAAGCGGAAGAGCTGCTCGCAGGTGTTACAACAGCAGCAGGAGGAAAAGTGGAGGAAACTAGTAGGAGATTGGTTTAAAACAGACAATCTTTATACAGACGGTAGTGAACTATTGTTGCTGGCAGCTTCACAAGGCTGGGAGAGTCAGATGGTATCAGCAAGTTGATAAGGGTGTTAGATGGACAATGGATCCATGGATGGATACTAAAAGGACCAGGTCAGGGCATACCCCAAACATCCCCAGCACAGCAGCGCTGGATGCAGCAGGGCAGGGGGCAGTGGGCTCATGTGCCCTCTGTTAGCCTCTCCTTTTGAAAGCAGCAACATGCGTGCTTATATTCATGCATACCTACTGACTTCAGTCCACTTCTGGCAGAGGAGTTTCTTTGCTTCGAAAAACTATTTCCGTGCACAGCCTTCTTGTCTGCAATGCAGTCAACAACCTCTTGAAGACACTTTGACTTTTCTGCTTCTGTGTCAGAAATGTCCAGCCCAAATTCATCTTTCTCTGCCAACATGATTTCCATTTAATCCCCATCATCCCAGACAAGATCTTTCATGTAACAGAAGTTGGCTGTGGGATCAGTCTGGCCACACAGCTCCATGACACATACTTCAGTGCTACGCACAGTAAGAGGTGGGAAGCCTGCAATGAATGAAGATGGGGTTGAAGCCTTTTTTGTAAGCAGTGGAGCCAGGGAGTGCTCTGAAGCTGTCCTGGTGCATCACAGCAGCAGCCCAACCTGTGGCACTCCCAGTATGGGGCAGCTGCAGCAGCGTGATTGACTGGTGAGGAGATGGGGCAGCTTGTGACAGGACAGAACATCAGCAACTTACAGCTGTACACCTCTGGGGACACTGAGTGCCTGTCTGAATGACATATCTAGGGTGTCAGGAGGAAGATGGCCTTTGGTGGCAGACTCTAATCTTCTGCTTGGTGAGCTAAAATAACGATCGTAGGAGATTCAGTCACAGGAGGCAGAGCGCAGGTAAACTTCTGAATCACAGGGATTTAGCCTAACCTAGTGGGGGTGGGGACATGCATATCCTTGCTATGGATAGGACGAGGCCACCACTCCAGGAGGTCCTGACCATGTAGGGATTCAAGCCAGGGCAGCAAATATACAGTAGCTTCAGCCAGCTAAACAAACTCTCATAGTTGTAATGGGGATGGCATGCCCAGACAACGGGCAGCTTTTCTGCTCAGCAGAAATTGATTTTAAAGTTGCTTTCTTAACCTTGATGTCTGACAATCTGTATGAATTAAAGATCTGTAAGAACACCATTATGATTTCCAGTTTGCCTTTTCTTTTTCTCACTCTATCAGGCTGACAAACCCAAAGCTGTATTGTATTCTCTGTCTTGTATGTCAGGCACCAGGTGACAAAGATCTGTAAACCAAATGCAGAGGCTGTGCAAGCATAATGAAGGGAATAATATAGTTCTGTAGAGCTATTATTACCATTCTTCATGAAAGCGATGTACTTCATGACATAAATATGCGACCACAACCTTTTCAAACATGGTCTACTGTAGAGAGTTATTACTTAGGCGAGGTGAGGGTGTAAGATTGATTTGTACAGTGCCATCATATCATGCTGACATTGCTTCCATTACCAGTATTTATTTTCTAAGCTTTTCCATATACAGGTCAATTTACCTTTTTAAAGGTACCCTAGCAAACAGAAGGCCTGTGTTCAGTGCTGCAGCCGCAACTGTACGTGGGCTCCTCCTTCTCCACAGCACACACGCACTGCACAAACCGTACTGAGCAGTTCACACTCTTCTTTCAGATGTGTGATGCTCTGCATTTTGCTGCAATTAGATCATTTTCTGATTTACTAAGGAAAAAGGAAAATGTATTAACATACATTTTTGTATGCTCCTAAAACCTACTTCAAATTGATTGAGCGGATTTTTAAAGACCAGTGCAAGGACCTTTAGCGCTCTTCTCCCACTCTGTCAAAGAATTAACAGAGACTGCCACTAGGCTCTGTGTGATGTTACACTGATTTTTTTCACAGCGGAGCCACGTATTTCCAAAGACCAGGGTTTCTAATGCAAATACTACAGCTTTTCACTGTAGCAACTTAGAGGAGCAATGCTATGATTTTAATAAAGCTGTCAGATTAAGTGACTGCATGGTTACACCATGATATTAATACACGTTCTTAACTGTCAATTAGTTAACTGGCTAATAAAAGGAGCCTAGCTTATAGGATTTTACTAATGAATATAATGCTTTGTTTCTGGGCAAAACATATGCTTTGGATATATAATTAGAAAAAGCCCCCCTCTCTCTCCCCCATCGAGAGAGCATGTGCAGCTGAATAAAAGAGCTCATTATACCTGCGAGGGGTCAAAGTCTGTGGATCTGTAGCTTATGGTATTATGACAGATTACAAAATCACTCTATTATGTTAGTCAATCTGTTTCCAAGCACAAACTAGCAGGGAGCAGGGCACTAGAACCTCCTGAGCAGGGCACCCATTGGCTTTCCCTGAAGGTCTTATGATGGGTCAGCTGGCGGTGACACCACATCTGACAGCTCACATGTCAAACCTTCCCTGCCTGACTTCTGCCTTTGTTACCACAGAGCCTCTTCACCAACAATCAATCCCTGCTTCAGGTTGCAGTAAGCTCCCAGTAAGAGGTGAAACAAATTTGAAATCTGTGGGTAGCCATCACTTGTGTTAATGAAAGGGAAAAGCAGAACACTCATGCTCCAGCTGACCTCTCTCAGGCTCTTGCCTTAAAGAAAATAAAAAAAAAATATTGAAAGTTTTTAAGTAGAGAAGGAAACAGCTAAACAGCAACAGCTGGAAGGGAAAGCATTGCTTCAGGTTTAGTGCGTGCATCAGTTTAAAAGGGAAAAAGCAGTTCATATGTGAGATAAAGAGATTTCAGACATGATAGAGATCCTAAGAAATATTTGACTTACCTAATCTTCCCAGGAAATTATTCTGCCAGAAAGTCTTATTCAGTCAACTCAGCATAAAACTCCTTGGTACCAAGGGGAAAGAAAATCCTCTTGTATTTGAGAAACATAGCAGTAGTCAGCACTGTGAGCACCTACATTTCTAACTGACAGCACCTTGCCAAGATCCTACTGAAGACCACTGCCTTGGTCTGGTTGTTTCACTCTCACACCAGTCTGACATCTGCAACCTGGGCCAGGAGGGTCCCGGAGCTGCCAGCATGGCACAGGAGAACGGGGACAGGAGGGTAAACCAGAACCAGCAGTTGCCTTAGGTAACCCCCGAGGACTGGAACTAACAAAGCCACATTTGTGCCCTGTGGTCAATTGATTGTGGTGCTCGGGAAGATGCAAAGTCTGACTGAAGCTTTCTCTGCCACTGGAACTTGTACAGGCTTCGTTATGTGGGATTTTGTCACGTCTAACCAACAGTGAGGTCAGGCTGTAGCTTTTCTGTGCGGTAATTTCTTTCCTCATCCCATTATCTTGTGGGAACTAATTTCTCTTTGCATCTTCTACTCCAAGTCCAATTTGATTAGGATTTTCCAGGTGATTCAAGAACTAGGAGGGTGTAACCTGCACTCACACCCCCTAAGAAACCAGAGAAACTAAGCCCAAAGAGGTGCTTGTCCTGTTATTCATTGTGAGCTTTTTTTGCTGAATTACCACATTGACAACACACTTTTAACCATTCCATGTTTACAGCAGCTATTGAGTGTTACACAGCAGCAACAGCAATAGCAGCAGCAGCTTATCCCACGGTTGAAAAGGGACCTATGTGAGGGCTGGCCCCAAAATGGAGGAGTGCTGCCATGCAGGTATCCTCATGCTCACCCAGGGTTGGAGTCAGCAAGCTCTCTCTGAAGCAGCCATGGGGCTCCCAACTGCTGCACCGTGGACTGCCCAGACCTCCAGGGACCACAGCAGGAGCTTCAACACCAAACCCACATGATGTCACTCCTGGAGACACCTATGCTTGGATCCAGATGCCACCAGGAATGCAACGCAGGACAGCCACAGCATCAGGAGAAGGAGCCACACAGCCCCTGGAGGATGTGGGATGGCTAAGAAGAGATTTTTGTTGGATGATATTAGACTCCATCCTCTCACAGCAAGAAGCTGGGCACAGCATCTGATGCCCAGCAGTTTCTTCTCAGCACCTTCCTGGAGCCACTGGGTTCACTTTCAGAGATGCCCCTGCAGAAGCAGGTAGCTGAAGAGTTCAGTGTAGACTCATCTTGGGGCAATTGTCTCTAAATGATCTGAACAGGGGGATTGGATCAGATGACTTCCAGAGGTCCTTTCCACCCTCAACCATTCTGTGGTCCTATGATACTGTGACGAGGACTGGTGTGTATTTGATGTATATAACAATACTGAGATGTGGATTCATTTAATAGCTTGCATGAGGTAAGGGCTGTGATTCTGGAATCAAATCACCATTGGAGTGATGACAGGTGAATCTTCAAAGCCACCCTGCAGGCTCACAGAGTGGCAACAAGGGGAAGGCTTCTTGCAGACACAGCTGAAACGCTGCAAGGAAACTCCAGAGGGAAGAACCAAGGACTTGTGTTAAAAGCAGGCAAAACCAGAGGCTTATAGGACACAGTGAGGAGTTTCTGCCACCCTGCAGCCTCCAGGAGCTATGCCACCTGTCCTGCCCTAGGTACACATCTGTGAAGAGGTGGATCACTGCCGGGACACCTAACCCTGAGCGACCCCTGCACCGCTCTGAGGTCCTGCTTCCCCTCCATGTGCCTGCCTGTTTCAGCAGTGATACCCTCAGCATTGTGGCTCCCTGGACTGCCCCGCGGTTCCCAGTCAGCGAGCCCCTGGGCTGGCAGCATATGGCCATGGTAAGTGGCCGTGGTTGTTCTAGGACCTCTAAAGCCACCAGCACCAACCTCTCCCTCCAGCTTCTCCTGGCTGCACCCTGGAGCTTCCCTAGTTTGCTTGGTGTTCACCAAATATTTGTGCCAGCCCTGCTCTTGGTAATAAATTTCACTGCAGCTGAAAAGCACTCCCATAATTTTAAATTTTCTATTTTCAGTACCCCTCCAAATTATCTGGAAACACTCCGAAGTAAAACACAGGGTGAAAAAGTCTAAGTAGGAAGCCTCTTCCTCTCTCTTTGAACCATCAGATTGGGTGAGGAGACAGAGAATTTCCCATGACTGAGCTTTGCTGTTACTATTACAAGACCTGAAGGGAACTTCTCCTTTACTGGCGAGCAGCCTTCCCTGGCAAACACCAGGAAGTCAAAATCGGAATATTCAGAGCAAAGTGAGGTTCCCATATTTTAGAAAAGATGGGAGTGGGAGCTTTCCTATTAATCATCTCAAAGACAGACAGCCTGTCAGTCTCTTTCACTTCGAGATAGTATCTGTTGCATTTCAGGAGCTAGTTTTTCTTCTCAGATACATTTACAGATTTTCAAACACATTTATCCCATTTCTTTGCAGAACGTACAATGCTATCGGTCATACAGACACCTTGTTAATCCCCAGAGGCTGAACTGAGGCATGGTGAAAGTCAGTTCATGTCCCTGGAGCTCAGCAGAGCAACATTAGCTTGCGCGGGCAACACTTTAGCCCATATGCTCTGATGTATTTGGCTAGCAGCCGAGGA